GCTATCGCCACTACTGCAACATGCATTTGTCAGGTCCTGCAGAGCTGCATTGTGCTCTACCACAGAAGGATTTTTTCCGATTTCTGGTTTACAAATGCCAATAAATATTTCTGAAATCATCATTCTGTGAGAGACAGTCATTGTCTGGTGAGAAGGCATCATTGCCTGTTCGCGTGATGAAGTAAAATACAGAATACCATACCAATGATACCATACCACTTATGCCACAGCACTTATCCCTGGTGTGTTCCGCAAGGCTTGCTACCAGCTGTGTGCCCAACAGCTGCAAAGCTTTGTGAATGTCTGCTTTGCCATGAAATCTGTTGAAGTATATGTATGTGTTTTTTTAGTCAAGCAAGCAACATTCAACATAATGGCAAGCCGTGCCACTGTAAACTGCTGGTCAATGAAGTCCGATAGCATGAGCCAAGCACGCTGGCACTGTGCAGTCCGATACATGCAAACACTGGGATATTTTCTGGTCCAGGGCGCAAACTTGACTCACGCAATCTGATTTCATTGAGCAGCATTGCGCGTGGGTGGTACATGGGTGGTATACGAACGTCGCTCTCATGGGTAATCCAAATCTTGCCAATGTTTATGGCTGACAGGCACAACCTGCCATCATGAACAGTGCCTGCCAAGCTACTGGAGTGGGGAGTCATGGAAATACACCATCATGAATAGTGCAGTCATATTTCACTGCACAGTCCATTAGAAGGGCCACACTCCTCCACACTACCCCCCCCCCCCCCATGGGCCCATACGCATTGACCAGGCCCGTCATGTTTACAAGACCACCACTGCAGAAGTGTGGTCCTACAGAGCCCCAACACTAAGCCTGGGCCAGAGCTGGGTTCATGTAAGCAATGCCAGCAGTCCGGGATAGTACAAGTGGGAACGCTTTTGAAAGTAATATCTACCACATCACAAGCAAACACCGGCCAAAATGTCTTTCTTACATGTGACGCAGCAAAACCTACACTGGCCGAAGTTCTACCGCTACAAGCATGACACTTTTAGTGTATTTTCGACTGCTTCTATCTGTGTGCGTAGCCCCCAGACACACAAACAAGTAAAAAAACATCTTCCAAAAAATTGTTTGTGACCTCACGTACCGTTTTCCCGGCCCGCTCACTGCTTCTGCATCGCCTGTTCTTCTCGGCGAGACTCGACGTCACTCTGGCGTGCTGCATGTGCGCCGCGACGCCAGGGGAAGCACGCTTCCCTGCCGATAAGCCGAGGACACCGTTACTACTGACTTCTCGGAAACAAACAGCAAAGAAAACTCTCTTGTCCACGCCAAAAATACCAAAGATGAAAACCGCTTTCTCTGCAAGCACAAAAAACGACTGGTGCCTCAGTTTTGTGTGTACAAGAAAGTTCAGCGGTTGCTCTCTGAACTAGTGTGGCTTTCGCACTATGTAGACGCTGGCGCACAGTTCGATCTCACCTACACGCAGGCCAGGGCTTGTCTACACCGAGTCCGTTCTGGACTGTAGACAGTGCAGACTCTAGCACTGAGTAGAAGTGGCAGCCACTTCTCACTTGTGCGGACTCTGTTCTCCAGCAGCGCGCCTTTCCGCTCGTGTTAGGGTGCAAGGCTGACTTGTAAACTCCACACACACGCACGCACAGCTTGCGCACCGGATCCAATAGGGCTTGAAAGTGCTACGTCACAGCATAGCAACAATTTCAAAAATTCAAAAATTGGATCCACTTGGATCCAGTTTTTGTATGGATCCAAGCACATTTCAAGCCGTCTTACTCTCAGCAAGGTGATGTTACCAGTGAAACTGACTGATTTGGCTACTGGGGGCGGGGTTACAACTGGTGGCGAAATAAAAGTCACACCTGCATGCGACATGAGTGGGTTGCTATGCACCCACATACTTAGGCAATAGCAAAGTCACACCTTAGTGGATCCAAAAATAGAAATCTGATGTCAACTTACTACTCCCTGGCCGTTTTGACGTCATCACTTTCAAGCCCTATAGACAGGGCCGAACAGACGTGCGAACAGCCACCCTCGTATGGCACACTGAACGTGTGCATGGCGCTTGCCTCCACATCATGCATTGTCTGCTTCCTACACGAAAGGATGCGAAAGGAAAGATCATTCTTCGAAAGTGCAAGCTTTGTAGCAGAGAGTTTATAAATCACACCATTTCGGATCCAAGCCCGCCAACCACGTTTGACCCGGATCAAATCCGGACGAACGAATGGGTAACACTACTAACAGCCTGGATATACTGCCAGCCGCCTTCCACAGTCTACTGTATCACTTGCTGGTAGCAGTCAACATTGGCATTGCGCTATTATATAACAAGGGACAGCGAACCAGACTCCATACTACTACTAACTTCCGCCTTTGCATAACTGTAGAGTGTATACCATGCATGGGATGTAGTGTAGATCTACCGCGGTTTGAGCCACTGAGTAGCAAAATACATTGTTGCACTCCCTGCTTTGAGTTTGAGCCTTGGTAGATGTACGTTGCTAGCTATAAATTATACAGACAGTAGACTACATTGTACAATCGCAATCCGTTATGTACTATAGGGCTTGAAAGTGCTACGTCACAGCATAGCAATGGCATAGCAACAGTTTGAAAAATTCAAAAACTGGATCCACCTGGATCCAGTTTTTGTATGGATCCAAGCACATTTCAAGCGATCTTACTCACCGCAAGGTAATGTAGCCAGTGAAGCTGACTGATTTGGCTAGTGTGGGCGGGGTGACAACTGTTGGCGAAGTAAAAGTCGCACCTGCATACGACATGAGCGGGTTGCTATGGACCCACATACTGAGGCAATAGCAAAGTCACACCTTAGTGGGTCCAAAATAGAAATCTGATGTCAACTTACTACTCCCAGGCCGTTTTTGACATCATCACTTTCAAGCCCTCAAATCCAGTCGTGTCACTCGGGTAGGTCTCTACGCGCTGGGCATTCCGCAGCCGTAGACCTGCGAACACTGGCCTGCGAAACAGTGCAAGGCGCAAACTTGAGTGACACGACTGGATTTCAACACTTCGTAGTTCTGAGGTACTAGGCTAAGAAAACTGATAAGATTAGTATCGAATATTGACTGAGTACGAGGTCAATATACCGGAAGGAAATAAAAGCCGAGTAAAGGACCGAGCCGAAGCCGAGGTCTTTTACGAGGTTTTTATATTTTCTATACCAAGTACGAAGTCAATATAAGATTGATAACGACAAACAGTCCGTGTTTCAAATTCCAGAACGATAACCTCATGAATCCCGGTTTTATGATTGCACAACCGTTGCACCATCACCTACTCATGCAGTGACCATGCTGTACTAGGCACCGTTCAACTGCGCAACCCACAAGCAGTCAAAATTATATAAGCAGTCAATATCGCCCCAAGGAGTGAAATATGCAGGAATATTTGACTGCTTAGGTATAGCGAAAATCAATGGGAGTCAATACTAGAGTGATAATGCGTATCTAATATTGACTGAGTACGAGGTCAATATAGGAAATAAAAGCCGAGTAAAAGACCGAGGCGAAGCCGAGGTCTTTTACGAGGTTTTTATTTCCTATACTGACCAAGTACGAAGTCAATATTAGATTTATCACGACAAACAGTCCGCATTTCAAATTCCAGAACGATAACCTCATGAATCCCGGTTTTATGATTGCACAACCGTTGCACCACCACCTACTCCTGCAGTGACAATGCTGCACTAGGCACCGTTCAACTGCGCAACCCCTAAGCAGTCAAATATAAGCAGTCAATATAGCCCTAAGGAGTGAAATATGCAGGAATATTTGACTGCTTAGGTATGGCAAAAATCAATGCGAGTCAATACTAAGGGAGTGATAAACTGCACTAATAGTAATAGAGCAGGCTGGTCAATGAAATCCAGTCCCGCCACTCAAACTTGCGCCTTGCACCCGGATTTCTCCGGCCAGAACTGTACTGTAGTACTGTCACTGGTAGCACAATCATGTAGAGTCGTGGCCAAAGGAATCCGACCCTGGAGTCAAAAGTAGGGGCGCGTTTCCATGTCAATTACATCATGCATGTTCCCAAAACTGATCTTAGGGCCGCATTTGCCTTGGCGCTGCTTTCGGCACGTGCGTTGGATATCTTTGGCCACAGATGTACTACAGTAAAACTCCCCAGATCCGGGCAGGTTGGGACTGATGCCCGTAACTCAGCACATAAAATTAACTTCCTGAATGGAAGAAAACATTAAATTTTTTTGTAATGTTCTGAGTTGCGACAATTCTGTAAACCTCCGTTGCGCCTTTTGTGTGTAACATTGATTACAAAGCTGGGGCACAAGGTGGGGCACAAGGTGGGGCACAAGGTGGGGCACAAGGTGGGGCACAAGTAATGCGTTAGAGTCCACCAACTAAACCAGGTTTTGAACAGGCAGACGTGCACAAGGTAGCTCCAGACTGACAAGGAGTACCGAGACATTCCACGGCCAGGAAGTGAGCTTGAGCACTGCTCGATAGCGCTAAACAACGGCCTACCAACTTGGAAGGTTCATTGATATTAGTGATAATTCCAAAGAGGGGAAGGTAAGCGCCATCAAGCCGAATGAAGCTACATTCCAAGGCAAGGTGGAATGCTGGTTTGGTACGATAACAGGACGGTAAGACCATTGGACTATACGGTCTAACCACAATCCGACAACGCAAAACAACAACCGCCCAACTTGGGAGGCTCAATTTTTATCAAGGATAAGTATTGAAAGGAAAGCCTCGCGAGGACTAATTGTAACAAACCGAATGGCGATATCCTACAGTACTGTACTTGGTTAGTGAATATAAAGTAGGGTGGTTCTACCTGTATAAAAACAGGGCTATGGTAAAAATTATCTTTGATTCTCAAGTACGCGCGCACCGATTTTTGGCGGTGCTCCGACGATTTTTTTATTTCTATGCATGCATATGCGCGCATGAAAACGGTCAATGGGAAAGGCATGAATCCGGGAGTAGAAAAATACCGGTATTTTTCTACTCCCTGGCCTGAATAATAAAATAATTATATGAACCTGTGACGTACATATGTGTGACCCTATCTTTGGAAATAAAAAAATGAGGGAAATAAAATAAAATAAATCGCTCGCTCGCACCGATTTTCACAGGCTCATGACCTCAGAATCAACTCTATTTTTTTACCATGGTCTTACAGTGACTTTTAAAAAGTAATACGCCCTGTCAACACATGTGCAGGAATTCATTACTTGAAGCATGTGAAAAGGAGCAATGCCTGTTCTATTGGTAAAGATAACGTTAGAAAAGAAAGCCTTGCGTATCACTTTAGGCACATTCATCCAACTCATTTTGTCGAAGAATTTTATCCACTTGGCCTAGAACCCAGCACTCAGTGCAGCTGAATGCATTGAAAGTGCTAAAATATTCAAAAGCAAAAGTTTTAAAAGGGAAGTATTCCCATGGAGGCGATTTGCAAAAGGGCTAAAGCCACAGGAGCAGAGGTTTGACGCATGCAATACAACGTGCCAGCGTTTGTGAAGATCAAACCTAAAAAAAAGAACATTTACCTGAACTGTTGCTGGTGACCACAAAAAAAAAGGTTGGTTGCAGTAGAGCAACTTGCTGCAAGTTCTCATAGCACTCTATAGACTACTGGCCTCTCGGCTATGCCAAAAAACTTTTAAAATTTAAATTATTCAAAGCACAATAGGAATAGAGAGTGTTGGGGTTATGGTGTGTGGCTACAGTGTAGTCATAGTATGTTGCTGCACGTTATCAGTGGTGCATTGTATCCGGGCCGCAATATGCTACAATGCATGTGCGCAACTCTTGGCTGGATAATTATTATCAATTCAGGCTAGCCGTCTTCAGAAACGATACAATCGCCGAGAGTGGTCTCATACACTATATCATCTTCCACCGACTCGTTGATCACGACGGCTTTGGGTTGGTTTGACGGCATTTCTGAAATATCAGCATAAACCGGGTCACTTTCTTCCACCAGCCCAGCTGTTTCATATGCCCCATCATCCATTTTCACGGGATTCGGGGAACATGGCAGTATCACTGTCCCATACGCGTCATTGCTGGTGAGTAGAGCCTTTTCAACTTGAGGAGTTGGTTCACTTCCCTTCATGATTTCTGTGGTGTTCGGTTTGTCCATGGAAGCGAGTGGAATTCTCGGTGAGTCTGATTCCCTGGGTATATAACTGGCCTTGTTACGGCGCTTCCATGCAATAATGACGATGAGAGCTAGGACAGTGAGAACAAGAAACGATGATAGGATTCCAATTGTTATGGTTGTGGTAGCGCTGGTTCCTTGTTGTTGTTGCTGATCTACCACAAAACAGAGAAAGAGCAGGACAAAAGGATGAAGATTGCAAGAAATGAACTGCGTTACTTTTAATTAAAAAGTTCTTCCACCTCTAACCTCACCTCCAACCTCACCTCTAACCTCACCTCTAACCTCACCTCTAACCTCACCTCTAACCTCACCTCTAACCTCACCTCTAACCTCACCTCTAACCTCACCTCTAACCTCAACTCTAACCTCACCTCTAACCTCACCTCTAACCTCACCTCTAACCTCACCTCTAACCTCACCTCTAACCTCACCTCTAACCTCACCTCTAACCTCACCTCTAACCTCACCTCTAACCTCACCTCTAACCTCACCTCTAACCTCAGCTGCCCCTCTAACCTCACCTCTAACCTCACCTCTAACCTCACCTCTAACCTCACCTCTAACCTCACCTCTAACCTCACCTCTAACCTCACCTCTAACCTCACCTCTAACCTCACCTCTAACCTCACCTCTAACCTCACCTCTAACCTCACCTCTAACCTCACCTCTAACCTCACCTCTAACCTCACCTCTAACCTCACCTCTAACCTCACCTCTAACCTCACCTCTAACCTCAGCTGCCACGCCTCACCTCTAACCTCAGCTCTAACCTCAGCTCTAACCTCACCTCTAACCTAAAGTTTTTTTGAACTACAAAATTGTTTGTAGCTTGGGCCATTGCTAGTGAGATATCGAGATGGGCAAGTCCAAAGGCAGAAAGAAGACCAGGTCCCCTCGACCTCGTCCGTTCAAGATACCGTCTGACGAACATGCCAGTGCATCAGAGTTGCACCAGTCTAATGACACCGGAGTGCGTGATCAACTAGCTCAGGCGCTCGAGAAACTTGATCGCAGGTTGACCGACCTCGAAAAGAGACTCAACTGTTTGGAAATTGTTGCTCCGCGTACACAGGTTCCTGTAGGAGCAAGTTTCGAATTTGATCAGCCTCATAGTAGTAGCAGTGGTCGTGGACATTCGTATGGTCGTGGTGGTCAGGTGGAACCACCGATTTGTTTTGGGTGTGGACAACCTGGCCACTTTGCTGTTGATTGCCCACACAACCCTTGGCGCTCGGGAAACTGAGTTCGACTGGTGGTGTGGGACAACTCCCAGTCGTTCACGAGGAGCCATCAGATGCAGTACGTATCGAGGCTGTATCGTCAGTCCCTACGCTAGATCTCCATGTTCAAGGCAAGTGTGTAACGGCGTTAATTGACTCTGGTTCCTGTGTTTATATGTTGCATGAGCAAACATTTTTGTCCACGTATGGTGATGTGCCCTTGCAAGCTGCTCCCCGTTTGTGTGCGGCTAATGGTGAGGGACTCCAGGTTCTGGGTGCTGTGGATATTGTATGCTGCATTGGAGAGCGTTCATTCTTGCATACATTTGTAGTGTCTCCTGATATCCGCCGTGATATGATATTGGGATCTGATTTCTTGTTTGACCATGGAGCATTATTGAACATTGCTCAAGGCACACTAACTTTTAATGATCTGTCAGTCCTGCTAGGCGTGAAAGCTACTAGTGTTGGTCCATCAGAACCCAGTCCGGTTGTTGCGGCGGACGCTGACCCGCTATCTGACTCTTGGAGTAATGATAGTAATTCTGAGGAAGACCCGGGCACGTACTATTCCCGTGTCACTGTTTGTAGTAAATTAACTCTGCCTGCCGGCCATGTCGTGCTGGTCCCGTGCAAGTCGGTGCAAGAGGCATCTGTCACTGTGGATTGTGTTGCTGTTCCACTGGACTCATTCTTGTTAAAGTTTCCAGATATGTCTGTGACCCCCAGTGTGGTTACGGTTGGACCTGGCAGGTCCGGTGCGGTAGTTGTGTTGGAGAATCACTCTGACTACCCAGTACAAATTGCTACAGATGTTGATATTGCAGAATTATCTCTTGTACCCGATAACTTGATTGGAGAGGATGATGATCCTGCTGATTCATCTGTTGCGGATATGCAACCGTTTGTGCTATCCCCTGAACGTGCCGAGATAATCCGTACGTATGTTGAGTCTCTGAATCATCTGGCAGTACCTGAAAAGAACAGACTTACAGAGCTTCTCCGTGAGAATCATGACTTGTTTCTCTTGCAGGAGGGTGATTTTGGTCCTTGTGATGTTTTGCCACATAGTAGTAGTACTGGTGATATACAGCCAGTTAAGCAGCCTACGCGCGCTTTGCAAGCTTTGCTGGATGGTCTGTTGTCCCGTGGTATACTCACCGAGTCCATTAGACCCTGGGCGTCGCCCATAGTTCTCGTTCCCATGAAGGACGGATCTCTCCGGTTATGTATCGACTACCGCAAGTTGAACAGCATTGCGGAGCCAGATGCGTATCCTATCCCACGTGTTGACGCCATATTGGACTCCCTCTCTGGCTGTTCATGGTTCACTTGCCTGGATTTAGCGTCAGGATATTGGCAGGTTCCTAAGCACGAGGACGATACGGCAAAGACTGCCGTTACGACACCGTTGGGTTTGTGTGATTTCTTGGTTATGTCTGGCTGTAGAAATGGTCCAGCGACGTTCCACCGTGTAATGGAAGCGGTGCTTCATGGTTTATGTAGTGTGCCTAACCAACCAATCTGTCAAGTGTTTTTCAACAGTGTATTGAATGCCAGCTCTACCGTCGCTGGACAGCTCCAGATCCTGCAGTCTGTATTTGGCCGGGTTCGTGCTGCTGGACTAAAGGTAAACTTGGAAAAGTGTTCTTTTTTCCAACGGAAGGTGCTCTTCCTTGGCCATGAAGTTTCGGCTGAAGGTTTGGCTCCGGATCCCACCAGGGTTGAGGCTATTGTGAAGTGGGGCGTACCCCAGTCTGTACGAGGTGTACAGGTGTTTCTGGAGTACGCCGGGTTTTACCGCCGCTTCATCCGTGGTTTTGCTCAGCGCTCCGCTCCACTGAATGTATTAGCAGGCAAGGGTGCCAGCTTTACATGGACTAAGAGTTGTGATGCGGCGTTGACGTCTATGAAGCGGTCACTGACCGAAGCCCCCGTGTTGGCGTATCCCGACTTTTCTGTTTCGTCTGGTGGCTTTATTTTGGACACTGACGCAAGCAAGGTGGCCATTGGAGCTGTCCTCAGCCAAATGCAAGATGGCGAGGAATGCCCCATTGCGTTCGGCAGCCGGGTCTTGATGAAGGCAGAGAGGAATTATGATGCCTCAGACCGGGAAACGCTTGCCCTTGTCCATTTCGCGAATCAGTTCCGGCACTATTTGCTTGGTCGGAATTTTATTGCCCGCACAGATAACACTGCCCTCACCGCACTGATGTCCGTGAAGGAACCACGCGGTCGAAAAGCTCGATGGGTGGAGCAACTCGCTGAGTACACCTTCACTACTGTTCACCGACCGGGTCGGCAGTACTTGAATGCAGATGGTCTGTTGCGTTCCTTGTTGCCGGAGGTGCAACCCTCCCATCTCGAGACTCCCGCAAATCAGCCAGAGCAAGCTAGTTCCTCTGCCACAACTGCGTCTGTGGATGTCGCCACTTCTGTACTTGCTGGTCTCTCCGCAACTGAGTTGGCTGCTCCCAAAGCTGTGAATGTCGACCTCTCAGTGGTCAGTTTGCCCAGGTACAATGCGGTGAGTGGAAAATTTGTTCGCCCTCCCGAAGGTTTCTGGCACTAGTCGTACCATGCGTTTGTTCTCGGCTAATGCAGTTGGATCAGAAGGAACATTCGGTTCGCGTCTGATGCCTCACGGTGCTTACTCTGCAAGCCCTCGACCATGACCCTACTTGTTGTCCGCTGTCGTCAGAGCCCATCTCGCTCGCAATCCTGGACTGCCTGCTCGGTTTACTAATTTTGCTATGTCCTGAGTTTTATTTTTTATGTTTCTGTTTTCTTTCTCTATTCACGAGGGCGTGAATTTTTGGTAGGAGGAGGATAGTGTAGCATGGCTACTTTATGACACGTAATTTGTATACACATAAATAGTTCACCGTAGGAATGCATGGATAGCAGTGCGCATACTCGCACTGCCTTGTCTTCTTCTTCTCCTTGTGAGACAATGAACGAATAATGATAACTACTTACGTAACTACAAGTATGATTGTGCTTTGAGTGCTGAGAGTATACGAGTTACACAAGTGCCTGTCGTTTCGAATCGCCTATAAGGCAGTGGCTGCGTTTGGTCAACAACACGCTGTTTGGAAAATGCCTATCTATCACCCATAATACCAGTTACACTGTACATGGTCTGGCAAGATCTTCAGGACCACCGTAAGAATAAAAAAACCCAAGTCTTACCAGTTTCCAATGTCCTGACTGTATAGGAACGAGACAGTGGACTTCTTCGTCCATTGGTGTTGTTGACAAAAACTACCAGGCTGAATACAGTGTCATCTTGCAGACCAAGCAATGTTATTCTTGGCATTTTGCTGCACGTTGTTCTGGTTTCACCTTGGCTGGATGTACCAAAAAGAGTCAGCGTGGCTTGAATGCAGAATCGCGATACCCTGAAGTTTCCTTGTTCCACCCAGACTTGCCCAGTGATTGTTGCTGAAGTCGAAGAAAAGTTGGCAGTGGGTTGTCCAGGAACTGTGAGCACAAGAAATACCGGACCAAGTGAACTATCAAAACATGTGAGTACTTGTACTCTGAGTTTCTGGAAGGCTGTCAAATGAATGAGGTTAACCCTTTAAGAGCCGCCCCCGTACTTGAATGCGTCATAAACGACGCATTCAAATGCAAAACTTCAAAAGATGGTAACTCAGTCCAATCTCAAATCCAGTGATCAAAGTATCCAGGACGAAGAGAAAAGTCTCACCTGTCGGGAGAAACAATCCGCGAAGCGCTGCGAGCAACGGCTCCTGAGATAAATCACTCGTAAGTCGAGCCACGATCGTGGCAATTTCAAAAGCGCTCAGTGCGACTTTAGTATTGAGAATTTTGAGACTTTTTGTCACCCTAGTTTACTCGAATTTGCACGGGCTTCACTGTTGATATTGTCAAGAGTACACAGCGAAAAATTTGGAACTCCGCCATCGAGTAAAATGAATTATCTGGAGCGGGACGCATTTGGGGCATTTTTCGTACTGTCCCTGCGATCTAGCGCTGGATAGACTGTGTGCTGGCTATCATGATCGACCTCATTCTCTTCTCTCGCGGAGACCTTTCCAGGAAGCCCTAGATTTTGAGGATTGAGTGAGAAGAACTGAAGCTATGATCCAAGGAACACGAAAAGATGCAGAATTTTGAAAATTTTCCTGTGGCTCTTTTAAAAAGGGTTAATAAAGATGTGACAATACCCCCAAAGTTATTGAGCTGCCATTCACATACACACACACACACACCCCTTGAACCTAGAAACTGCCATCTAAAGGTGATGCAGTGGCTCAATGCACACACACGCACGCACGCACGCTTGCTTACACATACACACACACCCACACACACACACACACACACACACGCACACACTCGTCAATCTTAGATATACAAGTAATCATCGGTTCAATATTATAATTATTACCATCGAATATGAAAGCTAATGCAGTCAACAACAATAGTTTGAAATAGGGATCTCTGAATTTTGTATCAAAAATAAAGTGTAACTGATCACACAGGTCAACACTAACATCTGTGTTCTTCCAGCAGGATAAATTCATTTGAAACTCTCCACTTCTCAACACTGCGCTCTTGCCCCACATTCACCACACAATATCGAGGACGTTTGTTATGCAACTGTATTGATACAGGGTTGCTCTAGGGTTGTAGCTGCCTTGAAATTGAACACGGGCAGCTATGTAGAGGAAGCAGTTACATCAGTTGTGACTTTTCAGCTCCGTAGTGTTTGACAGCCCAGCCGGCAACAGGCCGGTCTGGAAGTAGGACAGTAGTATTAGTGGCAGTGTAGGGTAGCATAGTGTAGTAGGGTAGCGTAGTGTAGGGGTGTAGGTAGGTAAAGCAGTCAGGGAGAACTTCTTCGCCATGGGCGAGCTCGCAGGAGAGCCTGCGATGAAACTTCTCTGCTCCCTCCCGGGTATAGAGCACACTCTGCTCAGCGTGCTGCAGACCCTGCCTTTTCATGTCAGCGAGTCGAGGGATCGTGAGTCGCGTCTCCATCAGCGTGTGGACGACCTCTCCGCGCAGCTCCTAGGCCTCCATGAGGAATTTTGTTCCCTGCAGAAATCCGCCATTGTTCCTGACAAGGCCACTGCACGATCTTCTCAGCACCAAGCCCAAGGCGACAAATCTCGTACCCGTACGAAACCTCCCCAGCTTGACCCAGCAGCAAGCCAGCTTGATGCAGCCGATGCAGATGATGGACAACAGTCAGGGCAGGCCGACGTGACCTCTGGCTCTGCACAGCACGAAACCCGTACCCGTACGGACGACCCCGGCTTGGTCAATCCTGAGCCTGTGCAATCAAACTGCGAGAAGAGCCAACCTATCCTGGCCGTCATCAAGGATGACAGTTGGAAATTAGTTGCCGTGGGCCCGCCAAGAAAGAAGCGATCGGTGTTCTTTGTGGGCAACTTGAGCCCCGACTGAACGGTGGACAGCCTCACTGAGTTTGTACACCGTAGGTCGGAAAGCGTGGGCCATGGGGACGCCTGCCAAAGCCCACCAATGCAGCCTAAACACAGCCGGAAACGGGCAAGTGTCCGCCAGGATATCAGTTGATGCCACTTCCAAGCTGACAGTGATGTCAGCCAATTTCTGGCCAAGGCCGCTCTACTGCAGGCCGTGGAGATTCCACACCTCCACAAATGCAAATGCGGCCAAAATTCAGCATCAGCAGCAGCAAAAGCAGCAGCTACAACAAGCACAAGAACAGAAGCAGCAGCAACAATGACAACAACAACACCAGCAACAGCAGCACCAGCAGTCGCCGCAGCAGCAGCTCCAGCAGTCGCCGCAGCAGCACCAGTGGTCACCGCAGCAGCAACAGCAGTCGCCGCAGCAGCAGTAGCAACAGTAGCACCACCCAGCTGGAAGCTTAGCAGCATGATCAATAGCAACAGCAATTTGGGATTGGCGCCACAATTAACGACTTCCTGAGCGCGAGTCGTGGCCTGTCCGCTGCAGCTGCCGGCACACCTGTAACCCCCTTCTGAGCCACAAACGTTCCTCTGCGGAACGGTCACGAGATTCGCTGTTGCAGGATGCAAAGCGAGCTGCCCAGCATGGTGCGCAGCCACCCCTGCAGGATACACAGACCCACGAGCCCACCACCCAATGTAGGTCATGCACCAACCCAAACAGCGCCAACGGTCACAATGAAAACTAAGGCCCCCTCACTCTGTCTCCTGGTCACGAATGCATTCAGCATCTACAACAAAATGAATGAGCTTCAGCATACTCTGAAAAGCCTGCATGTAGACATCGCTGTCGTCACCGAGACCAAACTATCGCCCTACAAGGCTACAGTTGCGGAAGTCTCAATCCCTGGCTATTACCTCCCCCCCCCCCCCTAATACGTCGAGACCGGGCAGCGCAAGGCGGCAGAGTCGCCATATGGCTGAAAGAAGGGATGGCTTACAAACAACTGGACATCAGCTCTGAGTGTGAAACTCTTTGGATTAGTGTTGCTGCACCGTCAGGCATGAAATTTGGCATCTGTGCTGCCTACAGACCTGGGACGAGTGCAGACAGCGACTGCAGTATCTTCACCCAGCTGGAATCTGGCATCGACAAAGCCCGGCAGTTCTGCTCACACATTATTGTGCCAGGGGACTTCAATGCCCACAACCGGTAATGGCTTGGAAGTCCACGCACCTCGGCTGCTGGAGAAGCTGCAGAAGACATGTGCTGTGTACATGGTCTCCGACAACACGTCACCTCAGCCACTCGTGGAGAAAATATTCTTGACCTCGTCATGTCGGATGTGCCTGGAACTGTGTCTACCACCACCCAACCACCTCTTGGCACATCAGACCATGATGTTGTCATAGCCAACTTCCAGCTTACTGCATCTGTAGACCAACCCACCACTCGTACAGTATGGCGATACCAGCGGACTGACTGGCCCCGCCTCTCTTCCTTCCTCCGGACTACTGACTGGGACACAATAATCGGCGACGACCCTAACATATCATGTGAGCTTCTGACCAAGCGAATCACTTAGGGAATGCAGCGCTTTAGACCATCCAAGGTCTTCAAGACCAGACCGCAGGACCCAATCTGGTGGACACCAGAATGGTTGGTTGGTTGGATTTATTCAAAGTCGTACAACAAACAGGCATATCTGCCTCCTTATATGAAGACGGCTTCTGGCAGTAAAACATTTTAAAGAAAAGAGAAAGGAAAAAAAAGAAAAAAGAAGAAGAAGAGAAGATCAAGAATGCATCCTGAGCATACAGCTAGCCGGAGTGTGAGCACAGCTAGCCTCGGCATGCATCAGAGCATCAGGATTACTACATACTACTAGTACTATTCAAGATAGGGGAGAGGGGTTGCTGTCATGCTACAGTAAGACAATACGCGTGCAACACACCCTTGAACTGGAGGGGGGGGGGGGGGGGCGTGATGTTTCTCGCATCAGGTGGAAGACTGTTCCAAACGCGTGCAGCAGAAAGAGACACGGGATGAGTTCTGGATGGAAGCTGCAGCAGATGTTGTTGGGAGCCGCGCGTTTGGCCAGCCCTAGTCGGAGTGACGAAATCTCCAAATAATGCGCTGATCAGCGGCTGCTCCATGGTGGAATGTAGGCACCGGTAGACCAGCGAGCACACTGTTTCACGCAAGAGCTGGTGTAAACGAAGCAGGTTGTGTTCCGCATACACGGGAGTCATACGGGTACGGGAGGTAAGGAATGCTCTGCAGCAGGTGACAGAAAGCGCAATGCCTGGCGGAAATTCCGCGATGACCCCAGAAATGGAGCGCTCAAGTGTACATACAAGCTAGCATTCCTTGACTCAACAAGATGTCTAGCAAGAGCCAAAGCCAGACATCTTGACCATGTCAAGCAACGGCTCCGAACGGGCAGCCTGCAGGACAGAGAGTGGTGGAGCGTGATTAAACGAGTTGGAGGGCATGGCCGGGACAGCTCCATCCCAGTCCTGGTTGACCGCTATGGCATGGCATGCACCAAAAGCCATGACAAGGCTAACGTCATCGGGAAGTACTTTGCCCAGAAGTGCAGCCTAGACGATGACTCTGCAGAACAGTCGGGGCCATTCCCGCATGTCCGCCGGCGCACCGCAAATACGCTTGCAACAGTCCACTTCCGCCAAGACACCGTAAGCCGGACACTCCGAGCCCTGAATCCAAGTAAAGCCACAGGGCCTGATGCAGTACCTGCTAGAGTGCTGAGAAAATGTGTCGACTCTCTGGCCCTGCCTCTATCCAAGCTGTTTACCCTGTGCTTCTGCAGTGGTCATCAACTTGCCATGTGGAAAGTTGCCAAAGTCGTTCCGGTACACAAGAAAGGCCCCAAGTCGAACCCCAGGAATTACCGACCGATATCACTACTGCCCATAATGTCTAAGTGTATGGAGTCCATCGTGAACCGCAGCCTGTCCAACTTCCTGAAGAAGAATGACATCCTTTCTCACAGGCAGTTTGGCTTTCGCACTGGACTGGGAACCTCTGAT